GGTCGCTCACCTGGGCACCCAGCGCCCTTCTGCGGGGGCGAGGGGGACCCCGAGCGGGGGCCAGCCTGGGCGGTGCAAAGCGGGGTTTTCTGCACACACGCGCACCCACAAATGCTGTTGGTTTAAATGTATGGTAGCTTTCTCTCCAGTGTCATTTGAATAATTCAGTGAGCCCCACTACCAGCTGTACTTCTGAAGCCTCTTCCATTCTTTTCAGCATTATAATTTTGGTTAATTTTCAATTTTAGACCCTACGTCTCTGCAATTTGTGTATGAATAACAGAATAATTTTCCTCTTTTGTTTCGCCTTTCCTGTTCCTGAATCTAAATAAAGATGGCTTTTTAGTATTAAAAGTGGAAGAAAATTACAGGTAATTATCTTTGACGGTAAAAACGCTGTAATCAGCGGGCTACATGAAAAATTACTCTAATTATGGCTGCATTTAAGAGAATGGAAAAAAACCTTCTTGTGGATAAAAACCTTAAATTGTCCCCAATGTCTGCTTCAAATTGGATGGCACTGCAGCTGGAGGCTTTGTTCAGAATTGATCCTGGGGAGCTCTGAACCCAAAGTTTCACAGTGGGAAGGGGAAAAAAAGAAAAGAAAACATTTTTCCTAATGTAACAATACGAATGGTAGAAAATGACAAGACTGATCGGTTTTAAACCACTCTGAAGACTGACTGAGCGTGGAAGTTGCTCAAAAAAAACCAAAAAAAACACCCCCCAAAAAACTGGTATATTGGTAAGTAGTCTTTGCTTTGTGTCTAATTATAGTGACTGTCCTTTTGCACGACTGTATGTAGCTGTCATTATATGGAGCACTCTGAGGATCTCTATTGACTTCTGATAAATGGCTCAGTGGTTTCAAGGTTCATAATTTGAAGGATGCCCAGGTCTCTAGCCATTAATTCTCGCAGTATGGGGCACCCAGCTTGGATGAGGAAAGGGCTTTTCATTTGCAGTAGTTGCTGTGCTTTCCACAAGCTGGCGAGGCTGGAGCTGGCTGGACAGCGGGTTGTGTGCCTGGGCACCTCTCAGGGCTCTGGAAAACATTCCTCAGCTTGCATTGTCTGCTCGTTAAAAACAAAGGAGGGCGCCTCCTTTCTTAATAATTTGGAGTCTCCAACCTTTGGGAAGAAAGGCAGGGCTCCGAGCTTTGCCTCGGTGAGGAAGCTCAGCTCAGCTGGGCAGCAGAGCAGGGAAATCGCAGCAGAAATGGCCGGCTGGTTAGATAAATTTCTTCAAGGCTTATCTTTGCGGTCTCGATATCTCCTGTCTTAGTCGTAGCCTGAAAACTAACCGAACCACCGGCTCCCCCCCACTCCCCATCTTTTCTGTCTTTGCTCGCAGATGTATATCCGTGTATCGCAGATGTATATGTTCAGTT